ACTATATGCTGGTACCGTCTCAACGAATCGAGACGTAACAAATGAATTCATAATTTTGGCAATAACTCGGAAAAGACTGATTTTTTGGTGCAATGTACATGAGTATTTGAAAGCTTAATAAATTTCCTACAAAACGTTGTAGAAAATTTTCTTCCTATAATTTCTTCCTATAAATTCCTACAACACTGCTAAGATTGTGTTGCATCTGGGTAGTTATTTATCAGATTGGGAATTTGCCCTTTGTTTCCGGGGTACAGTAAATTATCTATCAATTAGTAATTATTTTTTAAATTTTAAAACATATTATTTTAATTGATAACAATATTAATTTTAATTTTATTTATATAAATGTGTCTTCCTTTAAACATTGTTGGTAATTTTTCAATGTGCGTCGATTACAATAGCATTTACTATTAGATTTTTATTATTGTAGTTTATCATTTTAAAAATACTCTTTCCATTTTTTTTTAATGATAAAGTAGTATACATCCTGATTTGAATAACTGCACAACTCCCTGAGAATTTGAGCTTTTGTCGTAATCAGATGTTTAAAGCAATGTTTAGAATCTTTTATTAATTCATGATAATCTAATGAAGGAAAAAGCTAATATTTAAATTATAAGTTTAAGGAAATGCAATGGTTAAACCATGGCAGAATGTAAATTATTTTTTCATAAACAGACAACTTAAAAAATATATATAATATACATTATTGAATTGAAGTTAATTAAGGGAAATGTATTAAAATCATGTACAATTATTAAGTTTGTTCGGAGTATTCGCACGGGTCACCTAGTTCAATTAAAATTTTCTTTTCAGGTAAAAGTAATTAAATAAACTTATTTGTTTGAGGCCACGGATTCAGTTAATGTTAATGTTGTTTTGAATATAAAAGTGTTATATCTTATTTTTCAATAGTATGTTTTGAACATTTGTTCACCTATAATAAACTGGTTTAAAAAAAAAAAAAGCTTTCAACAAAAAATAGCGTTCTTGTTCTGCTAAATACGAAATGGTGTTCTGATATAATTTTAGTCTTTTAAAATTATTTATTTATTAACTAATCCTTACTCCTCCATAATAAATTAGACGAGCTCTATAATAAATCCCGATTATTGTATCCATTAAGATTTTACTACCGGCTTTCTCTGAAATAGCTTATATATTACATATTAAATAATAAAATTCTGTTGATTTTTTTCTTCATTACCTATTGCATATTTGTGATTATGAAAAATTACCTTTATAGTTTTTATATAAATTATATAGGTGATTCTATTGCACTTGTTGAGTATTTTAGAAATCAATAGTTTTGGCAGGTCCCTGGTTTAGTGAGATTCATCCCCCAGTTTGGCCAACTGCACCACTCCCTCCCCTAAGACGAGATTGGTATTTCTATGAAATTTTAATAGTGGCAACACTGCTTCGGGTGCAGTGTTGTTTGTAATCCTTGTAACAAAATCCTGTTTGTTATGAAACTATAAAATTCTTCAATGGAATACAAAATAAGGCCCATATATTGGTATGTCTACCTTTGAAGTATAAATATATTCTAATTCTAAAATAAATATAAAATTTCTAATTCTAAAATATAAACCGGGGGTCAAACCCTAGTGTTTAAAAAATATTTTTAGAAAATATATACAAGTTTGTATATTTTTAAGATAATTCATAAGAAGGCTGCATTTTTTTTTTTATCTACTCTCATACATTGAAAAGTAGTAGATGAATCTACCGCCATACCAACTGCTTACTAAACCACTATTTATGATAATTAGAAGAATGTTAAGGGATTTTTACACTTACTCTTTTTTTTTAAAAGAGGATTTGAGTTTTCGTATTTTTTTTTTTTTTTGCAATAGAAAATTGGCACACGAGAATTTCTAACGTAGGAGAATGCCTCTTGTATGCTCCTCAACCTGACGTGTCATTTATTTCCTTCCTACTCGACCTACTGAATAGCTGGGGGTGTGGTTGACCCTTGGATTGATCTATCCCTGGAACTAGCTCTAGTTCCTGGAGGAGTGTACTGCCGGGTGGGAGCGTCCAGAAAAAGCCCTTTTAAAAATGGACCAAACATATAGTTGGCCCTTCTCCAGCCCTCCATTGAGGCTAACCAACCTCGACGGATTAAATAAAATATTTCCACTTTCCTGTCTTCTCACGGTTTTCTCGGGTTATGGAATGAATTCGGCTAACTCATTTTGATCGTAACTCATTTGCCGGCCTGGTCCTTGGTTTAAATTGATCTCCTACTCCTCCTGAGATAATATTAATGAAATTTACGATTATTTCTCCTCATTCTTTTATTTTATATCTTATCTTAAGTGCCCAGAGGGAAAATGATTTTTTTCCTTTATATTTTTTAAAATAACTTTCTTGTGCATCATAGTCTAAAATTGACACAGAAACCTAATATAAAGAGCCTGTTTACTTTATATTAACTTGTAATGATTATTACCTTCTGTGTTGTTACTGAAATTGAGAACTGAACATCACTTTTATTTTTATAAGAGTCAAAAAATAAATTGAAGCTAACCCTTGAACCTACGCTTACGCTTAAATACTGCAGATTTTATTATTAATCAATTTAGAAAGAAAGTGTTTCTAAAATTTAGGAAAATCTTGACGCGGTAACTTTTAATGACTTACAAATTCAATACATTATTGAATATTTATAATATATTATTGTGCCATCATGCGTTCTTACTAAGCAGAGCGATTTAATACCGTGGTTTACATAATTTATGGTATTTATTTTGCTCCACGTTGTTGATTGTTTGAAAGTAGTTATTGATCGAAGGTACTATGCACTAACACTGAGACGACACTAGGAAAGTACTGACACTGATATTTTTTAGATAAGAATTTCGGAAATGAAATGCACAGATTAATTGCCCAAGAGATTCTCATTTGTTACCTCCAAGTTTGAAAAGACGGATAATCATAGGAATCATGGAAAGAAAAGTATTTGATGTTTAAAAAGTATTTATAAGTAGATCACTGATATTTCATGTTCATTATTTTGTATTTTGTATATTCTACGCATTTTTTAAGTTTTGCGAATAATTTCTAACGTCTGTGATGTCTTCTTACGTTCAGCTATAAAGGTTTTACTGATGTGATATTATTGATTGAATAGTTCTATAGTTAATTTAGTGTGCTTAAAAGTCTTCCTTTTTAATTTTAATATTTACTTTTATTCTAATTTTATTACACCTTAAAATACCTGTTTATTCTCTTCCCACAATGAGTATTTAGAAATTCTATCAAGCAACTGTTAACAGTGGGTATCTTGCTCATATAGCCCAGTCAAATCAGCACAAAAAAGGGAAAGAGGTCTAGCTTGTAAAAGGTCGGGTAATTCGAATTTCTTTTTTAATAATAATAATAGGCGTGTAGTGAATATAAATAGTTACAAGGAACACTGCTATATGCATTTTTTGGGGATATGGGCAGACGGTAGGAGAATCTGGTGCACCGTGTAACATACTTTTCTAAACACTTCCGGACTACCATCTACCAGTCCGATCTCATTATTAGCAATGAAAACCTCCAAATTATCTGAATGAAGTTCAAAATAGAATTACAAAATTCCTCCATCCAAAACAGAAAAAGCACTATTGTGATTAAATCAAAATGGGTAAATTTTAAAAGCTCAATAGTTCACTTCCTATTGGGTTTAGAAAACAATATTATGTACAGAAATTTAAGATAATTTTAAACTCTTTAGATTGAAAGTAGGGGAGCGGGGTAGCTCAGTGGTAGGGCACTGAGCTTCCAATACAAAGGTCCCGAGTTCGAACCCCGGCTCATGGCAGAAAATTTATTTATCTGTTTCATTGGCCGTTGGGGCGACCTTGGGTCAGGAGTCCCTCCTGGGGCACACCCAGCCTCTATAAAGTGGGTACCCTTATTTAAGTAATTGGTTAAGGGGGAAAACCTGGCGGTTGAGTGTGATCTCGGTCAAATCACCTCCTTGCACAACCGTTGACCTAGAAACAGTGCTTTCCCTAAATAGTACTGAACCCCAGACCCTTCATGGGTTGTAGTGGTACAGGTTAAGGTTAAGATTGAAAGTAACTATTTTTTATCTATGTTGCTTTACAAAGGAGATATTTAGCTTAAACCAAAAAAAATATTCGAAACTTTAATGATTTTTGGATCACTGCAGCGAACCCACAAAGCTTTTAAGAGTGGAAACTTGGATTTTTTATATTCGCTACACACTTAACAGTATAAAAAAGAAATTTGAATTACCCGACTTTTTGCAAGGTAGTATGTCTAATTTCACTAGAATAATATTTATCTCTTTTATATTTATTTAATAGTTGTTTTATTTCTTTATAAACACTTGCACATATTGGTACTCATTGTGTTTTAATGTCACTCAGGAAGGAAAACCACAATTTATTGATCGTCACCTTGGCAGTACAAGGCCGAATAATTTTTTTATTATATATTATATAAAATCACTTTAATTACATTTGTTTTTCAAATATTTTTCGTATTCTGTTTATTTATACGTATTTATTTAATTTCATTCCTAATGTAACATATTTCTAAATGTATATGCTATATTTAAGCGGATTCCCTTATAAATTATTTTTTATTTATTTTATATTATTCCTTATTATGGAATAATATAAAAAAGCAAACATTATTGATTATTACAGCATAGTAGTTTGAAGTTGATTGAATTATTTGCATTAGCAATGTTTTGTTTTTATTTTTATCATCGACGTAGGAAACAAAAAATCTGTTTTATTTAAAATTAGCTAATTTATTTATTTATAGTTTTTATTTGCCACCATTATTTCACAATGACATTTACTTCAACAATGACAATTATTTCAACTGACATTTCAGGTTTTATAGGTGTGTGATATTTATCTACTTAAATTACCCTCTTATTATTTGAATTAATTTAGTTTTATTTATAATTATGTTATTTTTTTGGTATATGTGTATTAATTTATGTATATTTGTTTTTGTTACAGGTTAGCAAAAAATATGCAGTATGAATCATTTGAAATTTATGTTACTGTAAGTAATTTTATTTGTATATACATAAATATATACATTTTTTTTTAAACTTAAAATTTTTTTTTATAAAATTTTCATAATAGGTGATTTGTATTATTTAAAAAAAATAAATAAAAAATTATTACACTGTGTACTAAGTTTTAAATATAATAATAATATATAATAAGGACAATGTATTTACAGAAAGTTTAAAAATTGAAATATTTCAAAGAAAGTTGACTAAATTCAATATATTTCACAGAGTATTGAAAATATTTCATAAAGCCGAAATGTCGGAAACTATAGAAATACAACTAAAACATATTTAGTTGGTGACCTGTGGCCTAAAATTTAATATATAAATTTTTTTGTTGTTTTGATAAAAGAGTTTTACCTTATTACATATCTAAGGAACTGATTTCTTGGTTGGTATTGCAGGAAGTGAGAAACATGGTGATCAAGGTTTTGAGTCTCTTAGACATATTATTATTAGGTATTTAAATGAAGAATTCGTTGCTATTATGAGATATCTTAGTTATTTCCGGAATCTAAATTATGGAGATGCCAGAAAAGACGGGAGTTATGTTATGATTTGAATTCCTGGACATTTATTTCAACACGGTTCTATGTATGAAATTAATGTATTATTACATGTACACCTGTTTATTTAATTCTCTGTTTCTAAAAACTGTTGAGGATATTATTACGAGCATTAATAATTGGTTGATAGCTTATTAATGATATTTATGGATCATTTAATAATATGTCTTCCTCCTCCTCCCCCCCCCCCTGAGGTGGTAGTTTAATGATTCCCATCATTTTTTAAAGTTACTATAAAAGGTAACTTCATATGTGGAGATAATGATGCGTGGATAAGAGTTAAATTTATTTTATGTATAGAGAAAGTAGTTAGCTCCATTGGAGGAAATTGAAAAAAAAAACAGTCCTTGTAGAACCTGGGCCTCTGCCACCACTCTTCATGGCCTACAGCAAGATTCCTCCAATTTCTGATTCCCAGCCTCCTCAAGTATTCTTCCAGATCATCCAACCATCGCTGTCTGGGTCTACCTCTTTGTCTTTTTCCTCCTGGAGTACCATTCATTAGAAGTCTACTGAGATCCATTCTTTCAACATGACCAAGGGACGGACTGTAATGAAGACGCCAAACTTTTTATTTCCAGAATTATGTTTCTCAACAAATTGACAATAAGAATAATTATAAATTTGTGATGATAAAATTTGGCATTAAGGTGCATATAGGTTTTTAAATAAGTTAAAAATCTGTCCGAACTGTGGTTTCGTTCCATTAATGCCCTCGATGAGGTTATAATTTCTGTTGTATATCTTTCGAATCTTATATCAGCTTTCCAACTTTTTTCCATCTTTTGCAGTGTACTACAGAGAGCTTGAAGTGTAACTCCAAAATGCTCTATCGCATTAAGTTCATATTTTTCAATGATCACTTCCTGAATGTCATAGCGTTCTCTTATAATTACAAAACTACGTATTTTCATGCTTGAGGAAATTTTTTTTCAATTTAAGGGCTTTCCATGGAAATTTTCTTTTGAGCGTTCCATGCACTCTCATTATTTAAGGAGCCTCTTTGGGATCCATTCTATGAGGTCACATCGTATTGAGCGTATCTTTCACTTCTAAAACTGAACATACGGTCATCTGATGCCCCATGACCCGCTCTCACATCATCTATAAAAAGAACTTCAGTCTTCTGTACTCCATCAGAGGTGTTATTAACAAATTCTAGCCGAGTTTTTTTTAGTCTGGTGAGAAGAGAAACACACGCTAAATATGTGGAAATCGATATTTGAGAAATATTTTATAGTTGATTTCTGGTTCAAATGTGGTCCCTCAGATATGTTAGCGAATAAACCTGTCATCTATGTGGCTGACGGACCTCAGCTGCTTTTCTTCTTATTTTTTGAGGTGTGATTTTATTTTCTTCAAGGCCTTGTGATTTACAACGTGATGAGTTGTTTATTTGTATCTTAATGTTTTTTAAAAAAATGGCACTAACTTGGTATGTAAATTGATACGTAATATAATGGCGCGAATCATTATCACCATTGTATTAGCGAATATTGGTTATTTATCCACAATCTCTTTATAATAAACATAATTAGAAGGAAACTACTGAAAGAAACCTGAGAGAAATTACACGCCATGTTAGTTCCACTTTTCATCTTTATTGATTTAGATAATTTATTTAGAAATATAATAGTTTGTCACTTAGACAATAATTATAGTGAGATATGAACGCATTCACACCATATATACAGAAAACACAAAATTAACAAAAGTAAAATAATAATCAAGTAAGATAAGTAATAATAATAAATAAGATAAGTAAATTAAAAACATGAAAACTCAGTCATACCTATACACAATATATACAATCAGTTAAGGAACCACAAGCTAGGCTTCTCCCTCCAACTATAGAAGGAAAAGCAGGACTCCAAGAGATCCCTCCGCTACTCTCTCAACCGTGTCACTGGTGCTAAAGCCAGTGGAAATTGAGCAAGAGCGCTTTGGCCACATACACTCATATTTTGAGTGGAGAATCAGGCCATTATCAGTACTCCAAGATAAGTACTACAAAAGATCTCTGTGCCAATGCCGCTTCAATCTTCGAGGAGGATTATGTGGATGAGTGGAACTAGATAGGGATTTTGTAAGCGGATTTGGATGATTTGTGAGGTTATGATGGAATTCGGAAAATTTTTCAGGGATAAGGTCTAGGGCAAATGGAATATTAAGGTTTTGTGTATATGTAGGGTTTTGTTAGTTACATAGAACGGAGCATCAACTATTGTTCGGAGGACTTAGGACTGAAAGGATTGGATGCGTTTGATGTTAGAAAATTTAGCTGTCCCCCAAAGGGCCGTGTTAGTAAACAAAAAAAAAAAAAACTGATGTCACTGACATTTTTTATGCCAATTTGTACATTACGATGACTGAAAGGAATAAACCGAGATAAAGAGAAATACAAAGGATTATCAATATTTTGAATTGAACTATAAAAAACTGTTTAGTCGGTGATCATAATATTGTAATTGTTTCATAAGATGATTTATAAAAACTGTTATGTAAAAACGTTTATTAATAAGGTCGAACATCAATCTTAAGAAAATAACTGTTTTGAAATGACATGTATCCATAAAAGTAGAAATTCAACAAAAATGTCCATACAGCTATATGCATACTTAAAATTTAAATTTTTACTTTTAATTATAAGAGTAAACTGTTTCGTTTATTCTTATCGCCCCTATGGCACGAATGTTTTCATCACTTATGTCTTGATATATTACTTTTAAGGAAGAGTTTTAATAGTTCTAGTTTTCGTAAATGAAATATCTCTTAAATTTGTAATTGTTTAGTTTTGTTCCTTTAGTCGGACGTTTAGGCTTTTGGACTCATCTTCAAAGACAATTTATTCTCGTAGTAGTTAACACCTCATTTTTATAATATAAAAAAAAATCATCAACGCCCATCCCATTTTCATACAATACAATTGATAAATGTTTGTTAATTTATGTTGAAGATTTTTTTTTTTCCTTAATATATAAATGAAATATCAACTATTACAATAAATTGTCTTTTTGAAGATGGATCAAAAATACGAAACGTCATTCGGATATGACATATACTACAATAAATCCTAAGAATATACCTTCTTTCACCTAGTTTAATGAATAATAAATTAGAAATAAGATATAAAATAACTTGATAATAATATTGAATATTGAACTTCATTTGCCTTTAAAAATTCAGACATAATTAATTTACTTTAACCTATTAAAAACCAAACTAATTACCTACTTATATTTTCTTGTGCTTTTCGAACTAATTACCGTAACATTTTCTCGTCTAGAATCGTCTACAAGAGAGAAATTCTCTTTCTTACTGACTGATGCTTGATGTGCTTAGTGTATACATTATTTTTCTTTATTGTAGCGATTTTGGATTCCTCAACATATCTTAAGTAACTGATTATTTACTTACCTAGAAGATAGCAACAAAACTTTTTTGCAATATAATGATCTCACAAAGTAAAAATATCTGCGGAAGCCCTTGCAGACTGGATTCCTCCTCTGTTTACAAACCTTGTTCTTCTTAAGTGCAAACATGTCGATTAGAGTTACAGTTATTTATAAAATCTGTTCAACGTACCTAAAACTATATAAACTGCGATAAACATTCTCCTTCCGTTGCATGGCAGTTGGATGCAATCGCTTACCTCATTGGGTGCAGCGCCCCACAGATCTATTTGTGTTATTTCTATTTAGTTTCATCCCGTGGTTGTTGCAGCAGTAGCCGCTGTGTCCAATGCTGATTAGGGTGCGTTACTTAGCACTTGGATGATAGATGAGCGTTGTATGGATCTATTAGCGAATGTCGAAATTGAATAGGATTAACGTGAAATGCTTAATGATTCATATGCTAATTGTTCATGTGAAATACAACTTATACAATAAATGTATAAATATTACAAATAATTAATTAATAACAAAAAAAAAACCGCTGCAAATTATTTCACAATGTCTTATTATTTCCAAACAATTATACATCTTAAGTAACATTACCTTCCTTGTGACAAAGAAAAAGAAATAAAAGGTGATTCCAATTATTGGACCAACATTTTTTTTTAATCATTAGTTATATGCTAAAAAAAATTAGCATTACTTCAGTAGCACATTCAAAAATAATAAAACAAAACAAAGGATATAACCTTTGCAGTAGAACATATTAAAAACATCTAGAGACCATATCTTTGCTCCTAATTGTTCAATTTTAACCATTTTTTTTTATTTATTTTATTTATTTATTTTTTTTTAGTGAATTCCGTAAACTTTTAAATAACCATTTATAGTGTATACTTATTGAGTTGTTCGGCATTTAATTTTACCATCCCTCGTAACTTTTTTTCCAGCTTCTTTTCGTTGAAGTATGTTATATAGGTAAATTTTTAAAGATCAGCGTGAAGAAGACTTTTGCAAAGTTTCATT